AAGCTGCGCGGCCCACCACGGCCACCGTCCCCGCCGCTCCCCGCCGCCCGGAGCCTAGGCTCTGCCTCAGCCACTAACGGGGGCGGGGGGGTCCTGACACCACCGACCGAGCCGGGGCTACCGCCTCTCCGGGCGGTGGAACGCTCCGGTTCCGCCAGTGCCCCACGGGCCGAGCTCCCTAGGGTGCAGAGCGTGGGGCGGCCGGGCATGACTCTCCCCTACGCCTGCCCGGACCCCCGCAAGGACAGTCTCCCCGGCCCGGGCGGGCCCCGGCATCCTCGCAGAGGTCCAAAGGCGAGCCTCAGACTGCAGGATGGCACCGATAGCCGACGGATGATGCTGGATCGCTGAGACAGAGATACTCACCGGCACGAAAAGATGGCGGAAAGAGGACGGGAGGGGCGAGCGCACGGAGTTATGGGAAGCGAGCGGGCTATCGCGAGACTTTCAAAGGACCGCCAAAAAAAAGAAAAAAACGATTACTTAGTGGAAGGAGGTGGGTGAAGGGGCGGAGCCTCTTCAGGGATGGGCAGTAGAGAGTCGATGGAATCGACCTCCCCAGGTGAGGCCAGGGGAGGGGATTCGGAGTTTCGACTCCCTTTTAGCACTTAATCTGTAAGAATTAAAAATGACAACAAGGGCCTAGATATTTGCTAATTGCTATTGCGATAACTGTTCACTATTTAGAATAAATTTTGACAATTGCGTAATTTTGGTTCTCTGGAAGGACTTATGGAAATCGGTAATTGCCTCTGGGGAGGGTATTAGAAACTGGAAGACTTGCTTTTCTCCCTATACAATTTTGGTTTTTTTATTTGAAACGTGTGTATGTATTACATTTTCAAAGCAGTCAAAATATAATTTTTAATTGGTGGTTCCTTTTTGACTCTCCCTAAATCTTAGAAATTATTTACTGGGGCTCCAGAGGTTTCTTTGGAGTTCTGGGATACTCAGTTCGTAAGAAAGCCACCAATGTTTTGAAATAGACTCAGGATTCTGAGGCAGTAGCTTTTATCTGCTCTTCTGCACTCCGAGAAGAACCAATTTGGATAAATGTTATCCTCTCTGAACCTCCCCCAGATGTAAACTGGGGGTAATAATAATAATACCTACCTCTTAGAGGTTATTGCGAGGGGCCGATGAGATAATGGTGGCAAAGGGCTCGCACAACGTCCGGCACGTACTAAAAGCGCAACATACGTATTCTGCCACTGGAAAGAACAGGGAGTTGTAGCTACCGCTTGAAGCCCAGGGTCTGATCACCTGGGAGGGAGTGAATTCTTGCTCCGCCCTCTCTGGAGCTGAGTGAGCTGACCTAACATCTGAAAGAGTATTTGCAAAAAAACTTAAGTCAAAAAACCTTAAGTCAGATCATGCACTCTCCGAGGGCTCCCATGACCCTCAGTAAAATCCAAATTCCTTACAAAAGCTTACAGGGTCCTCCGCGACGTGCACACCTGCCTCCTCGCACGGGCGCACCAGACCTCAGCCCCCACCATTCTCCTCTGGCTTGATTTTCTTCAAACACTCCAAGCATACTCCACTTCCGGGTCTTTGCATTTGTTTTTGCCTCTAACTTGAACTTTCCTCCCCCAGTTAGCCAGGAGGCTTGCTCCCCGGCTTTCCTTTAATCACACACACACACACACACACACACAGCCTTCTCCGGGTTCCCTCCAGTCCCATTTTCCAAATTAAGTTCCAAGCAAGCAGGGGTTTGGTCAATTTTGTTCACCACTGTACTCACAGCTTCTAGAGAAGTTATCTGGCACATAATAGGCACTCCTTACATATCTGATGAATGAATGGGCAAATTGGTTTCCCCAACTGTAAAATGAGTATGATACTAGCAGTCACTTGAAGTTGCTGTGAGGATAAGCGAACTAATCCGTATAAAAGGGATCAACACAAAACCTGGCAGAGTGCTCAGTCAACGTTTATTACTAGTATATTGTCTCAGCTCACTAAGTCCACATCCATCCACTTCTCCAATTGTAAGTGAATCTTGAAAGCAAAGCTCCCAATTTGAACATCTCAGGGAATATAGAATTCTTTGGTGATAATTTACATTACAAAAGGACCATTTGCTTTTTTAATGAAAATTCTCTTGAGGAACTGGTTCCCTGTACATGTTTTGTTTACTAAAAATATGGAGTTCACCTTCACTGAGGGCCTTAGCAACAGCGAGGAGTTAAGTGAATAAACCCACTTTCCTTAAAGAGCCTGACCCTAAATAGAAAAATAGCACCACCCACTCTCTCTGTATACACTTCATTCATTCATTCCTCCATTCATTCAACCAACATCTAATGAGAGCCTATCATGTGCCAGGTGTTGTGCCAGGGGGTAAGGGGACAAAAATATCAGTTTCTGCCCTTAAAAGGTGCAGATCCCAGTAGAGGAGACAGACCTCTAAATAACAACCGGGCAGTGTGCCATATAGGATGCCAACATGCAGTGCTGTGGGAATGCAGAAGGGGCCTGGGAAGTTGCTAAAGCTTTCACAGAGGAGGTGCCATTTGATCTGTGTCATGAAAGGTACCAGCCACTACCAATTCATGACTGCCACTAAGTGCTTCCTGGAGATTAACTTTCCTAAGAACAACAAAGGCGATTATACAATGCTCCTATGGGATCTGTACTATTATCCCCATTTCACAAATGGGAAAACTAAATTCAATCTGAAATTGACTCAATCTTAATATTTTGCTTTAGTTTAAAAAGTCAAAGCCAAAAAAGAGGGGTGACTTGTCTAAGCCACTAGATAAATTACTTTGTGGGGTTTGGATCTACGTCTACCTGATCCCAAAACGGTAGGATGTGCAGGGCAGTAGCCTAGGATGGACTAGGCTTATAACAGCTCTAAGAACTAGGAGGGCATGGAATCATATAAAGATGGCTAGAAATCTCAGAAGGGCTGGGCGGGAATTGGGAAATAGGGTAGAGGAGTGGAAATGGAGCAAAGGGCCATGTACAAATTGTCTCACAAGCTTGTGATTTATGCTGTAGGCAAACTGGAACCTGCAAGAGGGCTTCAAATAGGATTGATCATGATCTGAGTTGTTAAAAATAAATGGTAACAGGGCCAGCCCCATGGCCTAGTAGTTAAGTTTGGTGCACTCCGTTTCGGCGGCCCAGGTTTGTGTGTTCAGATACTGGGCATAGACCTAAGCCACTCATCAGCCATGCTGTGGTGGCGACCCACATACAAAGTAGAGGAAGCTGGGCACAGATGTTAGCTCAGGGCTAATCTTTCTCAGGGAAAAAATAAATAAATGGTAACATGAGCTGCTGGCATTAAATCACTTCTAAAAATTCTCAAATCCTTTCCCTCTTCTTGGCACAACGAACTCCAAATGGCCTCCTCTTGGCATCCTGTGAACTCTGGGATGATAGGACCTCTGCTGAAGGTGGTACCAAGGCAAGTGTCTTTTGTGTCTCTTGAGGCAAGGAACTTTTGCTGTGGGCGGAGCTAGCAAAGGGGTAGCCCAGCTGGCCTGGGGAGGAAGCCAGCCAGGTGAGGTGGCCTGAGAAGTCCTCACAGCTACATGGGGGAAGACCAGCATTTCAAAGCATTAGGTAACCATGGGGTGACTTTGGGTTGAGACTTTCCTTTTCTGGACATCACCAAACCCCCAGGAGGGTCCAAAGAAGGATCCATACTTTTGGGTAGTGCTTAGAATTTGATAGTCAATCTGTTCCCAGGACCACTAAGTATCGATAGCAATACCCAATGATAAAACATCCAATTTGAGCTCTAATTTTAAAAAATGTTTCAAGGGCAGACACGTCACCCACCAATTACTTACTGAGCACCTCGTGTACTGAGCTCTGAGGTGGGCCCCGGGGTACAGAGGTGCCCATGGCGGCCCCTCTCCTTGAGCCTGCATTGTGCTCTGCCTGTTCTTCTGGCTTGGCCCTCTCACACATCATCTTTGGCCATCACTCATTCATTGTATTTCCTTTTCCATGTGGCATGGTGCCTGGATGTTTGCTGAATAAGTAAATTTAAACCTTTTATTTCATTTTGTTCTTAAAGAGTAACTGATAGGGGGGCGGCCCCGTGGCTTAGCGGTTAAGTGCGCGCACTCCACTGCTGGCGGACCGGGTTCGGATCCCGGTTGTGCACCGACACACTGCTTCTCCGGCCATGCTGAGGCCGCGTCCCACATACAGCAACTAGAAGGATGTGCAGCTGTGACACACAACTATCTACTGGGGCTTTGGGGGAAAAAAATAAATAAATAAAAATTACAAAAAAAAAAAAGAGTATCTGATAGGCATGTAATGGTGTCACAGGGTAGTTCATTAATTGGATTCACAAATCCAGTCATGTAGACACTGTACTGGCTAAGGTAAAGAAAGAAGGGCACGAGGAGGAATTGCAGCTTTTTTTATTTTCCCCTTTTACACAAAACACAGTAGAAGAAATAATACAGGATTAAAATCTCACAAGTGGTTAACTGGTAGAACACACACACACAAAAAAATCTGGATAGGAAGACAGGCTTATTTACAATGAGGAAACATGTAAATTAAGGTAATTTATAGTTTTCATATGAAACATTAAAAAAAAAATCCAACATATGCTACATAGGTGCCACTGTTTACAGCAATATTGAAGGGGAGAAAACAACACTTATTTAGGGACAGATATTTCACAAGGTCCAGGTTTTACAGCATCAGTGCAATAAATTCACAAAACTATATTACAGCATTAATCAGAGTTTAAGAATTGTTCCCAAATATGTCACATTTTCCGCCCTCAGAGGTTCATTCCTAAAGATTTCAACTACTCTACATTTCTAGCTACTGAGAAGGAGAATGATTCTAAGACGCTTCCGAGGAGTTACAAAATCTCTGTAGACCAGAGGCCAGCTATCATGGCCACAATCTGTTCCCACCAACAGCCCTTGCATTCTTCAGAGAAATAGCTAGGAGACAAGTCAGAGGCCAGCATAGTCACCACCTCCTATGCCAAATCTACGGAGACCAAAGCAGCCAGCATTACCATGTGGTGAGAATCTTGAGGCTTACCTTTAAAGGCTTATTCTGGTCTTGAAAAACTAGTAGGATAAGGTTATTTTCTACTGAAATGAATCTTGATTAAACACAGGAAGACATTTGTCCTTTATTGGCTGGTCTCGGAGTGAAGGTCAAAGACATGAGTCTTAACCTATTAAGTACTTTAGTTTCAGTCAGCTGAAAATCTGAAATTAAAAGTATGCTAAAAATCCTAAACACAACCTTTTGGAAGCCTGCTATTAAAAAGCCTTTAAGGATCTACTAACTTGAAGTCTAAGTGCAAGGGGACAAGAAGTCTAAGCCTGTCAGATTCCTCATTTGGGAGGAAGGATCAATGTTTCCTCCAAATTGCTACAAGGGAGAAACCAACACATACTAGAGCATGGAATTGGTCTCATTTTATTCCATGAGGATTCTTTCCCACGGTATAGAAACAGAATGAGGAATGAATCTTAATTGGTCTCTTCATCAGAAGCGGTAGACTTGGTCTCTATATTCATGTGCCGGACAGTTTTGTAAGCAGACTGTGGAAGTAGACAGGAGAACCAGCTTCCTGTAGCCTCCGACCACTACCTTGCATGGAGCTAAAGCAACGACCAACTCGAACAATTATCCCGAGTCACTGTTAACTGGACTAAAGGGTGAAGTTCACCACTACATTATTTTAAAGGAAGTTGCCTAAAAGTAAGAATTCAATTAACCCTGGGTGAGAAAAATCAAAACAAGTCGTACTCACAAACGAGTCGTCCATAGAAGGCCAAATGATGAGAATGCACCCCGCTACACCTGACATGAAGACACTACGCATAAAGCCTTACTTGGCAAGTCTGAATTTCTACTAATTAAGGGCAGAATGAGGGAGAGCAAAGAACTACTTCTGTAACATTTTAGTATCCAGAGAGCATAATACAAACTGTTCCCAAGGACAATGTATATGCTACTAATGACACTGAATAAAGCAGACGCATTATTCATTTTTCTTTTCTTTTTGTTTGAGAAGCTTGTTTATCTCCCTTTTGGCCATTCCAATGTACTTCGAAATGATTCCATGTTGGTTTAGTCCAGGAAGCAACAGTATGAAAGTCACTTAAAATAAATAAACAAACAAAATTAAGGAGGCAGTAGTTAACTTGCTAAAGGTCATTACATTTTACAGAAGGTAGTTCCCCGGACTATTAGACACTCCAATGGGAGGAAGCAATCTGAAATCCGTGATTTCTGTCAGTCTTTATCCCCAGAAACTTCTGCTATCATACCTCCCAATCTCAGATAACACACTGCTTATTCTGACCTCTTGCACGTTACTTTCTACCTTGGTTATACTGTCTTAACTTCCTATAAGACCACAAACCCCCTGAAAACAACGACCTGGTTTCAGTCATCTTTCTATGCTCCCACAGGTCCTTGATCAGTGCGTTAAACTTGGTAGGCACACACATATTTGTTTACTGACCAAGTTCCCTTAGACTTCACTGGCCAGGATGTGCCTGGAGTTCCTCCTTCAAGACTTACCTATCAGGTAGGTGAGAAGAAGGTTGTGGACTTGCTGTCCCACCCAAGCAACCGCAGCAAGAGAAATGATCATGGTCACGAAGTACTAATAATAAAAATAACAAGAAATTATCAACTCCTAGAAACAGACTAAGAAGCATAACTTTAGGAGGTAGTTTCAAAGGTTGGAAAATAATTCTGTTTTTTTTTAAATTTTTTGTGAGGAAGACCAGCCCTGAGCTAACATCTGTTGCCAATCCTCCTCCTTTTGCTGAGGAAGATTGGCCCTGGGCTAACATCCATGCCCATCTTCCTCTACTTTATATGTGGGACACTGCCACAGCATGGCTTCATAAGCCGTGCGTAGGTCCACACCCAGGATCCAAACCTGCAAACCCTGGGCCATTGAAGTGGAGTGCGCAAACTTAACCACTACGCCACCGGGCTGGCCTCAATAATTCTGTTTTTATGACCACTTTTCTTTAAAAACACTTGGTATGTATATATTATATAAAACCCATAGAAATCTCCATTATATCTACTTTACAGAATTTAGATACATTCCCTCCTAGAATTACTGTAACTCTATATACAGTTTATAATATAAATTTTACTACTTTCACAATTAATAACTTCACACTGTAACCTCATGTGAACCTAAGACACAAGAGAACAAATCCTTTCTAAACATGTCTTTTACTTTTCTTTCAGTAAGTAAAAAAGAAGAGAAACAAAAAAATTTTGCTTGACTAAAATAAAAAATTAAATGCAAAATGTAATTTTAACTTCCAGTGATTCAGTCTAACAAATACAGATAAACATTTCTCAATGTGCTCAAAGGAGTTAAGCCAATGGATAATGATAAATATCAAACTACAACTATTAAAACAAAAAGACTCTCATTAGGCTACAATGAAGTAAAAATGGACTCAACCTTAAAATTTTGCTTACTTAATTAAGTCAGAACAAAAAAAGTACCATTTTAGGCTTTTCTTCCTTTAGTGTGAAGAGGCGTTTCCACCAGCCCACAGCTCTGCGTCGCGTTTTGACTAGATTGCTGCAAATTTCATGGAATCTTTGCTGTTGCTCAGTGGTCCTAGAAAAAGAATTTCCCCTTTACTATAGTAAACAGAAATATACCATCTCCTCAAATTTAAAAAGCTATCTTCTAAAGAAAAAACAACAATGATTCACCATTATCTTATAAAGGTAAAAAAGTTCTTGTACCATTAAGACATCTTTTCTAGCACAGGAATAAGTTTCTACATAAAGACACATGCATGTGTGTACATAGTAATGGTAATCTATGTTTCTAAAGCCACATCTGGTTAATGAAAGTAACAGAAGACTCATGACTACTATGGGTCATGCAGGAATCAGTATACATTAATTTCTCTATTCTTATATTATTTTTCAGATCCTAATGAATCCTGGGTTGTAGCCCATCAGAGTCCCACTATTTTGAGGAAGATGTGAAGTTTCTACCAAACAGCTGTATTTGAGCACTCTTCAGTAAACAGTAACTACTAGCATTCAAAGCATAGTACCCTCAACTGGGCTTCATATATTTGATGCCAAGGCAGCAGCATACAGCTCAAATCCAAATTCTTTATAAATTTAGTCCCAGTGAGGGAAAATATAATCATAAACAGCAGTAAAAATACAAAAAGATCCTCCAAGAAAGCCCTTTTTTATTTACAATGTTTTTTGGGTTCTGATAAAAAAAAAAGTTGCCTCTGTCTTGTTTTTGCTATACAGATATAATGGCTGCTATTATAAAGTAGGCCCTATGCTGGGGGATGTGTGGCCTTCTCTCCTCTAGTCCTCGTCCCTGTAAAACTGCAGTGATAGATACAGTAGACGGGTTTCTGCTGAGCCCTGGAACTTCTTGTAAACAATCAGACCTTATATGCTACCCATGGTCAAGGCTTGATTGTGGCTATGTAACAGTGTCCTTCCTTGCCCACAAAGATCAAAAAATAAAACTGCTCTGTCGATAAGACTGAGCCACATACTGATTACCATGAAACTATCAGTGTTTATTTCTGAAAACTTTTCTCCAGGAGTTATAAATTAGCAGATTAGAATGTCATCTGGCTAATACAGTCAAGGTCAGAGGTTGATTCCTTTTGTTAAACTGTTACATTGCATAATTGCAAACTTGCCCAGAAAACAACGGCATAATTCAATTTATTGCTGCACGTGAAAAACAATTCAAAGGATATTTCCCAATACTAATCCATTTTGCTATGGGGGAAACACCTTAAATTAAACATGCTTAATTATCCCATAACTTAAACAAACTCCTCCAAGATGTCTGAATTTGTTCTCAAAAGTCCATAAGGCATACATCTAAAATTTTTATTTTTACAGAATTATTTTATAATTTGCTATTATTGGGGCAACAAAAAACTAAAGGCACAAGTAGACTACTCATCAAATTAAAATAAACTACCAAGGGAGAATAGCAGCTAGAAGAAGAAAATCTATTCCAGCATCTACTTGTGTTCATTATTTGGATCAAAAGTGAGAAATGCAACATTCCAGAGGGAAGTTAAAATACTTTAATATGATCCACAGCCACTTAACTATATCTTGGGAACTCATAAATAACCAATTCAAAAAACAGTATAAATGAAATCAACAATCCACCTGTATACACAGTTTGAACCTATTCTGAAGCACCTGCTCTGCATCCAGCTAACCACCACTGCACTGCCTCAACGTCTCAACCTTAAACACAAGATCAATCTTAAAGGTCAAAACATTTCACAGCACCCAGAAAAGTGTCTAACATAAAAGCAGACATTCAATAAATAGTTGCTAAACGAATGGACAAAAATCTACCAGTTACTGTTTTCATATTCATTCAAAAATAATGCATGAAATTAACATTACATCTTAAATATCAATGGAAATAAATGTAAACATACTACTTTTATAGAAAGCTCATTATGAGTTCTGCTATCCTTGATAAAACATTACCTAAAAAAACCTCACTTTCATAAAAAAGGTCTAGAAAGAAAAAAAAAAAAAAGGTCAAAATAAATGCTAGACCATAAAAGAACTATGGAGATATAAGTACCAGAAATTCATGATTTACATCTGAATCAGCTAAGAAAGTCTTCACATAAAAGCAATAAATCTAACCCCTAAGATTCTGATGGTTAGACAATTCTCTGTGCTTAATTACAGGATACTAATCACAGCCACCAGGTTCAGGAACTTCTCAGAAATTAGACTGCCAAATCCTTGGGCCACCTACCATTTATTGGAGCCAAAAATTCTAGGTGCCAGAATGGGAACAAGGTAGTCAGCCAAGCACAAAAACATAACAAAACAGGAAACACCGGACAGAACAGATGGATCTAGATAGTAGATAGTCCTGTTTAAAAAAAAAAAAAATTAATAAAGGTTAGAAAACCATAGTCATAATATTATTCCCAGCTGAAGATGCTTATTCACTGAGTCCTCTGGTTCTCAAAGATGTTATTTGCCCTTTTCATTCTAACTTTCTCACAAGTGGTTTTCTAAAAGCTTCATGACATGATGACATCATAGCTGCAATGGTTAATGCAAATACCAAGAAACAAAAGCTCTTTGGGGTCCTCAATACTTTTTAGGAGTGCAAAGGGTCTTTATTCAACTGCATTAGGTTACTGAGTTTACGTAAGTACTACAAATTCTGAAAACTAGGCGAACTGCTCTAAGGAAAGGCATTCTTTACAGATTATACATTACACAAAAGACTAAATGAAGGCTGTATATGACCTGAGCCCTTACTAATAACAAGCACAATCCATAGCAATTGAACAGTGCACTTACAGAAACACCAGAGAAACCACCCCCATGACGGCAGGTGGAAACCAGGCTCTCTCCCAGCGCAGGACCTTGTCAGCCATCAGCATCACTTCTCCCCATCCTTGCAGCTGCTCCTCCAGACTCGCAGTCTCTGCAGCCTACGCATGACCAACATTTAAAGCAGTCATTTTACCACTCTCAACATTTCTGTGGTTCCTAGAGAGTTAAATTCTTCCAAGGCACCAAGTGTGTGTGAAATAGCTCTTAACCAAATCACTATCTTAAACAAGTTAGTTTCCAAAAAACTGCAATTTTCGTACCAAAGACAGAAATTAATGGGGAAAAAACTATCATTTAATGGTCCCCTTCCAAGTCCAAGTACTGGGCTATTATTTACATACACGATGTAACATAATCCTTATAGAGCCCCTCAAGGTAGGGATAATTAGATCCATTTTACAATGAAAGAAAGCGAGCTCAGAATGGTTAACCAACTTTCCCAAAGTCACGTACTAAGTGGCAGTGCCCAAAGTATAAAATTAGATCACTTTCAATTCCCTCATTTCAGGTAGTTAGAACTGATCTGCTGTTTTGTCATTCCATTGATTTAAACCCCTCCTTCTAAATCCATTAGGAAAGCCTCTCCCTGAACAGCTACTTCTAAAATAGCTCTTTGTGTAATGGAATCATTTAGATGTTGGCATCATTTGCACAATTAAGGAAAACTCGCCAAATTATAAGAAGCATTTTAGCTCAATATATCTCCTTAATACAGAGCTTCTTACACTTATCAGGACATTTTAGTTAGACCTCAAATTTCTCTGCAAATCTGACTATCAGCTGAAAGCAGACTTCTAGGATGAGCTAATGTGGCAAAAAGCCCGTAAGCTGATTTGGGTAGAGGAAAAGAAACTGGAACATGTCCTTATAAATGTTATTACAGGGAAACATGCAAATAACAGGGGAGAGTGCAGCTTAATCTTAATGAAAATGCTATCTGCGCCACACTGATCACACTTAGGTGTCAATATTTCTGACTTCATATACTATGCTTAATATAGTTAAATAAGCAATTACTATGTGCCAGAAACTCTGCTGAGTATTTCATATGCTTATATTTTAATCCTCCCAAAAAGTTAAAAGGAAGGTGGTGTTACTCACCTCATTTTAGAGAAGAGGAAGCTGAGCCACACAAAGGTTAACAGATGTGAATCCAGGAAAAAATAAGGTCAAAGGCCTCGCTCGCCTTCAAGCTACACTGCTCTGCTGGGCAAGAGCAGCGAGCACCAGGCCAGGATCTGTCATTTCAACAGCTGTGTGAACCTGGGCAACTTCTTCGTGCTTCAGTCAATCCTCTTAAAAGCAACCTGGCTAGGGCTAACTAAGCACAGCACTGAGAAGGGGTGTGGTCTGTGTGTGTAAGGGGGCAGGTCATGCGTTTCTAAAAACCAATGCAAAATTAAAATCACGCACAATCAAAACTGCCCTGCAAAGTCACTTAATTCGTTAGCACCTGGGCTCTCGGAAAACCAAAAGTGAAAAATTAAATTCTTTGGTTCCTCTATTCATTGCGGTTGTGGCGTGTGGCCTGCCTTTCCCCGGGGAAAGGCAACGGAGAAAATGCACGGACTTCTCTCGTTTTTGCCTAGATCATGCCGTGAAATTCGCAGAGGGGTTACACTTGCCCGCCTGGGATACCACCTCACTGCGGTTCCTTCGGACCCCTGCTTATTTCTGAAGTCGTCCTGAGACCCCACCCAGGCTTACAAATTCCAGACCAACGCCAGGACGCCCACTGTCCTTCCAGCTGGACCCCACGCCCAGTTCCCCGCGGCGAACTCGCAGCCTCCCTGCCGTTTTAAGCTGTGCCAGCTCTAACAACCGGGCAGCAGCCCTTCGACCCTCCACTCCTGTCCAAGTCTTGGGGGGAAAAAAAACGAAAGGACATCCAGGTTAAGATCAAAAAGGGGGAAACCCGGATGCGGCTGGGGCCTGGGCCCCCAAAGCGCTCCACAGGCCCCTGGCGGCCGTGTGGCCCAGGCTGCACCCCAGGCTCGTCACAGCCCCCTCGCCCACTTCCTACTCAACCCTCTTCGTGACTGATCACGCGCCCTCCTCGGCCGGTCCGCACCTTCCCGAGGGGACGTCAGGGGTCCACACGACTAGGGACTGCCACCCAAGAAGCCCGAGGGGCAGGCGTCGTCGCCTGGCCTGGGAGCCGGGAGAGGAGGGCCGGGCCCGCCGCGGTGACAGGAACGAGGCCGCAGGGCCGCCCCGCTGAGCCCACCCACGTCCGCAGGCCCCGCTCGGTTCCCCCGCGACGAGGCCCCGGGGCTCACCAGCAGGTTGGTGCTGCGATTATCTCCCTCCGCCATCGTCGCCGAGGTGCCGCCTCAGCGAGCGCAAGCCACCCTCCAACGCAGCCTTCCCGCAGGAACCACACAACGACCCCAGCGCGAGGGTACGCCCCGCAGGCCGCTTATATAGGCTGGCTGCCTTTCCCGACAGACCCCGCGAAGCTCGCTCCTCATTGGGCAGATCGAGCTCAAGCTTAAGGGGAGACGGACCAACCGCTGCCCGGCGCATGGCTTGAAATCGAGGTCAAAGGCGAGCGGGGCCGCTCCGGGCCGAGGGGGCGGGGCACGGACTGACCAATCAGCGCCCAGGAGATGTGCGACGCCCCGCCCAGGCCTCTCGGCAGCGGTTGAAATGCGGCCGCCCCGGGTCTGGTTTGGCCTCGCTGGCCCCAGGCGTGGACGTTGCGGTCGTCTTCGGAGCCTCTTCTGCTGGAGTTCAGAGCAGCTAAGGAGCCTCTCTGGAATTTAGTCCTCGAAGAAATATGCCACGCATATCAGGCGGAGGGCAGAGATGGGCCTGGGACGCTAACCTCGATGTGATGAAGGGGGCCGGCTGGGACCCCCTTCCCCAGCCGGCGGGTGCCCCCCGCCCTCGCTGTGCCCCTGGGCGGCTCCCCCTTTCTTCTAATCCCCGCTCTGGTCAGGCCACCGGGCGGTTTAGCCCAGACTTGTGACTCGGAGACTCGTGCCCACCTCTTGAGGTTTTGAGGACAAATGAAAAGAGCTATTTATGTAGATTTTTTGCAGTTTTTCCTTCCTACCCATTAGTAATAAGGCCTTAGCTTGATAGGGAGGGAGGAGGATCTGGGTCTAGTTTGAGAACTTGTGAAAAATGCACTGACGATATCAAGTTGGCTTATTTACGTGGAGTCTTTAAGGAAATTCCTTGTGGGGCACTTCAGTTACTTAGGAAACTACGAGCTCCCTATCCAAAAAGGGACTCGTTTTGACAGAACCTTTCTTACACTGTAAGTCATGCTAAGGAAAGATGCAAACCGTGGGATTCAGAGGCAATCTAGGAATTAGATGAACTATGTTGAGACACTTCCACATCTTTTTCTCCAGGATTTCAACATGCATTAACAAGTGCTTTGATTTTCTTTACTTGGTACAAACAAAATCAGGCCAAATGTTGACCTGGTCACATTGTCTGTTTCAGGAAAATTTATCATAGCTTTTAACTTCCAGCCTTTTATCCTTTTATAGTCATCTGTATTATGCCATCGAATTTAGATTACTTTAAAAGCATTCCTTAAATAACTACCAGGTTCTTAAGAGTTCAGGGAAGGCATAAAGAAATTTGAGAATACAGCTATAGCGCACATGCAGCTCCTAAGAAAACCAGGGGGGCAGGAACATTGTGAATTTCATGAAAGGGTGTGAAATTTGCCATGGATCTGTGGAAAAAATAGCATCTGGATTAGGTATCAACACTTGGGCGGGGGGAGCCTTTGCAAGGGAAGGGGCCTCTTCAATAACGTGCCACTTTGGGGGATGTTGGGGGAAAAAAACAGGTAATGTATGCAGTCACATAGAGACCCCATTTTGGGAGACTTTAAAGCTATCGAGTCGCAAGCCCTCCCCTACCTCTTCAAAAGAAAATTAAAAGGTCCCTAACAATCAGCAGCCACATAATAGTGCACATGTTGAGCACTTTGAAGGCAAAATTTGCTTACAGGCACAGTAACATTCACTGCCAAAGGCAAGGCCAAGGAGTTATTAGGCTTTAAACATGGACATTTCTACTTTTGGAGATCAGCTTTTGCTACAGAATGCTTCTGGTTTTCACCCAAGTTCCCTACGTACAACTTAAGAAGAAAGACTTTTCAACACCAGCTTGTGAAATTGAGGTAGGTGAAAAGAATTTAAGTAACTCAAACAGCAGAAGTTCTCCATGGAGTATTTTTGTTACTCAAGGAATGTGTTCCTTGAGACCTATTTGCAACTTCACAGCCTACATGCTGCTGTAAGGTCTTTCTTTAACTAAACTTACAATTGGCCTTATTAGAGGGGAAAAAAAAAAAAAGCCTACCCTTAGCGTAGCTTCCTTTTGTGCTGTTTTTGTACTACAAGGACAGGATGTGATCTTTTGAAACGTGCCAGATGACTTAACAGTTAACATAAACCCTCCTAACATAAACTAGCAGCAACAAATGCAATCTGATTTCCAGATATTGCAACAAGCTGGACATTTTAATTCTATTTTCCTTCTGTGCTTTCATACCCCAGGGAACATACATGTCAATAATGTTCTACAGTTTTGTTTAAATATTGACAAAATTAAGCTTAATACATTGTACCTTAATACTAAGAACTTTCCCACTGAAGTAAAATTTCCACTGCTGTTCAAAAATAGAACTTGGAGGGTAAAAAATTTACTTTTTAGAGAAGTAAGCTTTAAAAAAATTTTTTTGGAGGTATTAATGCTTAAAAAAAAAAAAACTACCCATATTCCAAAATTAAGTTTTCTGGAACCTACTTCAACCAATAAATTCAGAGCTTAAATGCTACGTCTTTTTAAGACTTTATTTTTTGAAAAACAGGTATTTCATACAATCTTTGCCATGTTAATGCAAATATGCAGAACCATAGGCATGTATTTTTGTTTTCCAAAAGATGCATTATGAACATTTTCAGGAAGCTGGTGTGATTTATTCAACTTTTAATCTTAAATACAATCACAAAATTATACCCATCAGGAGGCATTACAACCTTTTGTACAGAGAAGCCACTTTATTTATACAATGTTACTGGGACAAGGAAGATTCAGTTCAACTCAATTTGCTCTTATAATAAGGGTGAAGGAAATTAACAAGTAAGTGAAGTATGATGGTGCCACTGACATTACAGCTGGAAATATAAGGAAATTTAAACCAGAAAAATAAGTGACACAAGAACTTTAAACAAGAGCTGAAACTTGGACTTGCAGGAAAAGAAAAAGAAAAATCAGCCTGTTTTGAAAGAAAGAAAACATTCTACAAGTCTGCATTTCAAAACAAGCAGTTCCTTAAGTTTACCATCTTCGAAAGTCAAGCTAATTGTATGACATTTTTACATTAGCACAACAAACAGCTTTTCCCTAGTAAGCCCAGTCAAATTCCCACAGAAAGCAAGAGACTCTAAGCAGTTCATGTTGTACCACTAATCCTTGAACCTATGAAGCTTCTCTCAGCCTGAGTCCATTTGCCCTCCTGTAAATAAGGGATGGTGACACTGTTACCCAGGCCTAAGAAGCAGGAAAAGTGCAACACACCCTTAAGAGGTTCATAATACAGTGAATTTCCCCTTCCCCAATGCCTGGAAAAATCTATAATGCTAGCTAGTTTTTCCCCACAGGAGGAAACTTTCTAATACAACCCAACTACTTTCTTTAAGTGACCCTTATTTAATATATTCTACCTCCTTGATTTAAGTGGGGGAAGTCCTAGCTCTAAATTACTGGCATTTTACAAGCTCAAGAAGATATAGAATGGAAGGTCAATGGTTTTCACATTCATCTAATTTTATGTAAAACAGTTACTTAAATTGCTAATAATAAAGCATTCACTGATTTGTGATGTATATGCATACGACTAACAGGCTTATTGTAGGTGCTTTCTTCAATAGGAAAAGAATTGGGAGAAAAGAAGAACCAGCTCCTTTGATTTTAGTACTGCCAAAACAAGTAAGCCCCAGAGTAATTACAAATATGTGGAGGAAAATAGGCCAGGAAGACTTTTCAATTTAAAGTACTGCCTATAAAACCCCAGATTTAAAAGGAACTAAGATTGCACATCAACTGTAATATTTGGCTGTACTTGCATTGCCCTGCTCGGCAGTTTTTAATGGCTCTTTCCTTAAATTTCACACATCAGAACAACCACAATTAAAAAAAAAACAAAAACCTGCAATTAAAACAAGGCAGATAACACCAAACATTGGACAATATTAAGAAAACTACATACTAAGCCTTAAGGTAACGGAGGCAAGTGTTAAGGGCAGAAGTGATGGAAGTTTTTCTTTGTATTATAAACCCTCACCCTGAACCTGGGGTTTGGGGTCTAAAAAAACCATTTAGGGAAGCAGATCAAGAGCCTGATTATCAGTTCTCACACAGAAATCTCACATATCTCAAAAACAACTCATCACAAGTGTCAGACACAAAAGAATCTTAATAATCACCTAGCAAACTATGTTAAGAACTCATGACCGGAAATAATGATACGGCAAGACACACCAAAGAAACAGAGTAAAAGAGAAATACAGATACAGCTCCATAAACTACTAAGCCTCCACTGCTTTGTAGAGAAATCAACTAAAATTCAGGCAATTCTAGGAAATGAAGACAACAAAACACTTAAGATAAACTTCAATTTCCAAGGGTACTCTGAATTGAGGAAGAGGTTGTAGGTTATTCTGTACCCCCTGAATCTGAGAAAGAGAGAGAGAGAGAGAGAGGGAGGAAGAGAGAGGAGGAGATCCCTGGTTTTCCATAGGTATTATGTATCATCAAAAATGTATGACTTCATAACCACAGCACTCTAAACTTTACATTAATTTACAAGATAATCCCCAAAATATAGCCTTCTCTTCTCATTCTGCTATTATCACTGGGCCTTTTACCACTGATTAAATCTCTAATTGAGTTCTCTTACAACAGTTCCAATGGCAAGGCTACTTGCAGAATGACTTCCCAGAGGAAGCCAAATGTACAGACCGGAGGCCTGTTGTTGAGTGCAGTAAAGAGCAAGCTTTGAAGTCACCAGTTATTCATATCTGCCCCACAACCAAACAGGTACATGCACAGTATTCTCTGAGGGACCATTTTAAAATAAAAGCGATGGATAATTTACCAGAGGCACATGTTGATATAAAGCTGTTTTGTTTTTGCTTGGATAAGGTGCCAGGTACCTCTGAAGCCTGAATTTCACAGGCCATAAAATTCACCTATTTCATTTATCTTCTTTACCAAAGAGGAAGCAATTTCTGAATACTACCTATAGGGACAAACTAGTGTGAACTGGTTTTATCACTGTGATAAAAGTTTTCCCTTGTGACAACAAAGAATGTTGCTAAAAAGACTGTTTAAACTTGAGAGAGCAGAGGTAATCAAGTGATGAACGCTATAGCTCCCACAGCCTCTC